GCGTGAGTCACCGCACCTGGCCAAGAAACTAGATTTTAAGTCAATAATGTCCTTTTTAAAAGGAACATTTGTGCCTGTGTACTTAGCATGAAGAGTCCTTTCTAAAGCCTTTCTATGTAGCCCGCCTTGATGATATATCTTTGTAGTGACTGAAATTTTAAATAAATGTTGAGAAGTAATATAAATTTGTTAATCTAGGGTAAAAATCACATTAAAAAGTATTTAATGTGTCACACAGATGTAATAATGCTTCCCAGGCTTACATTTGGTCAATAATACATCAACCTGGCCATGTTTATTGTGGTTTAAAAAGATTCTTTTTCGATGATGACTCTAAGCAGAGACATAATTTTTAGCCATCTTAACGTCCTCTCCCTCTCTGCATTCCCAAGTGTCACTATTCAGGTGCACAAAACTAAGTCAAATCTTACAACCAACAGGAAAAGGTTCATCTTTTGTTTTTTAAAATAATTGTTTATGCTTTGTAACTATATTCCAGAAATGTAACAACCAGCAGAGCTTAAAGCTGCAGCTATAGTCACATGCAATGAGAAGCTTTAAAAATTTTACTTTGGGGAATAAAACTAAAAAGATGAAATATAGAGATCTTTTTCAGTTTAGTGGAACAAAATGAAATTATCCTCTCTTAAAATAAATGGCAGTTAGGGGAAGCAATTTTTCCTGTCATGGATAAATGGTAGAGAACACAAAACCAGCATTTGAAATATGTTAACTCACAGTGTTTAAAATATAAGGAATAAAATGCATTGTATAGTACCTGTTCCCAAGGATGATTGCAGTTTCATGTTGTCTTTAAAAATACATAATGTACTTGGCAAATGAAACTATAAAAACTAGATGGAAAAAAAGGCATTAAGCCAAATTTTAAACTTTTTTCTTTTTCAGTGGGAGGTTCCATTTTGCATCATTTAATTTAATCAGCTCAGCCTCTTTTGTGGTTGTTCCTCATCCTGAGTTCATATTCACAGGCATGCAAAAGAAATCTTTTGATATTTGAGGCAATACCAAAGATTGGAAGTCTCTAAGCCTCTATAGTTTTCTGTCATTCATCTGTAAAGTAATAGTGGGAAAAGCATGGATTAGAAATCAATTTCTTTCTAAGCCCACCATTGTCACTTAACAGCTTTGCTACCTGAGCAAGTTTCTTACATTTTCTGAGCTTCTGTTTCTTCATATGTAAAACAAAGTTTCAAATGTCTGCTTTACCAAATCACAGGACTGTGCTGTGGGTAAAAAAAGTCAAAATAGGCTTAATAAAATGTTCTACAAATTTCATGTACATCCTGTTAGAATTCCCATTTTGTGGATGAGGAAACGCTGAAAGGGGCTAGCTGCTAATTCTTTGTCATAGGGGCTCTCTACATTGTAGGTGAACACCCCTGGCCTCTGTCCACTGGATGCCAGTAGCACTCCCTTCCAGTAATTATTGATCATTGAAAATGTCTCCAGATACTGCCATATGCCCCCCAGTACACAAAATCACCTCAAGTTGAGAATCACTGTTCTGTATAGCTAAAATTCTTAACCATTTTATTTTTTTATTTTATTAATTTATTTATTTTTGAGATGGACTCCTTCTGTCAGCCAGGCTAGATTGCAGTGGTGCAGTCTTGGCCCACTGCAACCTCTGCCACATGGGTTCAAGTGATTCTCATGCCTCAGCCTCCCGAATAGCAGGGATTACAGATACCTGCCACCACGCCTGGCTAATTTTTGTATTTAGTAGAGACAGGGTTTCACCATATTGGCAGACTATTCTCAAACTCCTGACCTCAAGCCATCTGCCTGCTTTGGCCTCCCAAAGTGCTGGGATTAAAGGCATGAGCCACTGTGCCCGGCCTCTTAACCATTTTTGTAATGTAATTTATCAGTGTTATACTTACGCTAAGTAGTTTCTGGTTGGAATGCTCCATGACATAGCAATTTTCAGAGTTAAAGAAAGAGATAACTGATTTTCTTCCATTGTCTTCCTGTGTGAATATAAGCAGCAGCATTGTCTTCTCTGTACAGTTGTGAGCTTCCTGTCCCTGTAAACTGTCTATGTAGAAGCTGAATGTCACCTGCCAGGGACACTGCCCACAGTGAGCCCTAAGTCAGACTCCATGGCCTCTGGTCTTCCTTCCCCTGTCTACTGTAACAGGCTCTACTGGCTTCTCTTCTCATCTGGTGTATTCAGTCTCTTAATATCTCCTGTCAGCTGAGAGATAGGGGGAACACATGGATGTTCCCAATAATTACTGTTAGGTTTTGAAGGCAAGGTGAGGGTTAAAGACAGAGAGAGTTAGCGGCTCTACAGCAATGCAGGTTTTATGTCCAGCATGAGAACTGCAGAGGTGGGGGACCAGCTTAATGCCAGAGCCCACCACTGCTTACAGGCTGGAGTACTTACAGGTGTGGGAGGGAGGGAGGGGTTTGGGCAGTATGGCTTGCTGCCCAGCGGCATATTGATAAGATGTTCCTGTGATCAGGTGGTTTGGCCCTTTTTCCAATGGGATGTCATAGGATGTTCCTTGGACCTTTGTCCATCAAGATATGATAGGGATGTTCCTTCTGTTGGGTCTTTGCCCACCAGGGTATGATAAGAAAGTCAGGTGGTCAGGCAGGATGTTTGTCATGGTCCGAACCCTCATGGAATGTTTTACTTTGACCAGGGTCTGTGAAGTGGTGGGGGGTGTTACAGAATGGTGCAGCTTGAACTAACAATGATTTCATTTGAGCTTCACAGTAAGCTCTTGAGGTTTGCATTAGTTGTACGTGTTTACATTTTGTTTAGGAATTAACCTTTCCTCTTTGCTGCTCTTTCCAATTTGGTGTTCTCTTGATAGAGAAACTCAGCAGGAAGTTGATACGGAAACTCAGCAGGTGCCTTTCTCACTAGCACTGTATGAAGGGTAACATCCCAAATTACTCAGCATAAAGCAGATGCTTTCTGCCCTGTGTGACCCTTCCTTTCCCTTTCCTTTTAACAGTGATAGTTAAATATATACCTCTTTTTATTGCATTCGGGACTTAAGGACAAACTTTCCTGATGCTTTTGACAGAGGTCCCGTACTTCTTTAAGAGTAGTGTTTTTTCTTCTGTTGCTCACACTTTCTCCCCAGTAAAGGCCTCATACAAGCTTCCCAAGCCTGCCATACTTCACAATCTATCTCTGCTCTATCCTTGACTCTCTCCCTCATATTGGCACAGTTCCCAATTTATTGTCACCCCTCAACTAAACCTTTCTAAACATTTATGATTGACTTGTTATGATTGTGTCTGTTTCCAAAACTATTGGTAAATTAGATGCATTTTATTTGGGCCTCATTACGTAGTCTGAAAATATTTTGAACCTAAGACTGTATGAATTAATTTTTTTTTAACTCTAGGTTTTAAGATGAATTGCTGCTGACCAACACAATATAAGTGAAAGTACCACCATGACCTAGGAGAGACTGGTATAATTACCTATCGTGATGAGGACCTGGAATCACATAGGAATGAGACTCAGAATTCTAAATATGGAAGGTCCAAAACAATAGTTGTGAACCAATGGAATAAGGACTGGATTACTTCACGGCAATAGAACTTTAGTTTCAATTAAAACTCTATTTTTCTGTAAAATGTATGTGAATCATCTTAATTACTATATGGTTCATTAAAAAATAAAAAAGGCTAATTGGTTCCCGCTGTAAAATGCAATGTCAGGCTGCACTAGGAGTCATTTTTCTGTTTAAATTGGCATGTGTTCTTATTGACCAGACTTACCTGATTCTGATTTGATGTGCATGTAGTTCCTTTGTCATGTTATAGAAGTAAAGCATTGTGGGTTTTCCTTCCTTCTCCAGGTGGCCTTTTTGAAGATGTAACTGTTGGAGCTGGGCATTCTCCTCCCCCGACAGACAGCTCTCAAGCAGGAGCACACCGAGGCTGGCAGTCTGCTCAGGGGGCATCGAATACAAAGACAAGAACCAGAGCTATGGGTTGAGAGCATTACATTGAAGTTTTAAGTTTACTTGTTTGCATGTATTCTCTAAGAGAAGAGTTAACTTTAGATCTTTGAAAATCCAGGACTGTGAAGAAAGTCTTAGTAGCAGGTTGAGGCAAGTATAGAAGTTACATCTCTATTTCCCACTGAGAGGAGTATTCACATATGTGCTTTGTCAGCACCACCTGGAAGGTTATTAGCTAATGGAGACCCATCTGTCCTGTGGAATCCAATGAGGAATTTTATTGGTGGAACTGAATGTTAACTGCTATAAATCCTAGGAAATAAACTTTTAAAGAGTTTCTCAGGATCATTTAAAACAAATAGAAAACATTTTATGCTTTATTCAGAGGGGATGCTCAGTAGATGTGTGTTGAATGAATGATTTGCAAAGGTTTTCCCATTTATGCAAATCTGCATGTTTCTTTTGTTCTTTATTTCCTTTACCATACACTATTGCAAATTAATAAATATACCTCACTAGCATCCTGTTTCAGAGTTGTTCTGATCCTTGTGTACCAGCACAGATGTTGAGGAAACCTTTGAGGGAGAATGATAGAGCTAGAAGGAATCCCACAGAGTACAGGCTAGCTCCTAATTTCACGGAGAAGGTTTGAGACTTGCCTAGAATCACACTGCTAGGATCAAAGCTGGGACTTGAGCCAGGCACGTCCATCTCCTCTGCCCAAGATCTGATCCATTACTCTCTGACATCCTCCTTTCCTCCTCCAGGATCAGGAGGACAACCTCTAGATTTGCAAATATCCCTGCTGCTCATCAAACCTATTAGGATTAATCCCTACAGACCACCTAAAAACCCTGAGTTTTCTATCCCCAGGTTTTCTAACATTTTTTTTTTCTTTCTTGAGACGGAGTTTCACTCTCATTGCCCAGACTGGAGTGCAATGGTGTGATCTCAGCTCACTGCAGCCTGTCTCCCAGGTTCAAGTGATTCACCTGCCTCAGCCTCCCAAGTGGCGGCTGAGGCAGGAGAATTGCCTGAACTCGGGAGGTGGAAGATTCAGTGAGCCGAGATTGTGCCACTGCACTCCAGCCTGAGTGATAGAGCAAGACTCTGCCTCAAAACAAAAAAAAAAAAAGTGAGAAAAAAAATAGTTTACCAAGGACCTCTTAGTAAAACACTAAATTTCCAGTCCATTTTTTGTGTCTCTAAAATCTGCTGTAAACAAATGGTTCTGTGAACTCGTTCTTACCTAGTATAAAGTTATGGTAAAATTACAGTGGATAGACCCTGTTGAAAATTTCTGTTGGCCACTCATTTTGGCAAACCTATACAGGTTTGTTCATTCAGTGAGTACTTTTAGAACATCTACTACATTTCAGGCGTAGCTATTGATACTGCAGATAGAGACAATAAGAGGAAGTCCTTGCCCTCATCGAGCTTACATTCTCATGGGGGAAGCAGACAAAAAAGAAGTACTATGTTTTATCATAAAATTATTATATAATTTCTAAAAAGCACAATAAGAAAAAAGATGAATTAAGAAAGAGTAAAGGGAGGTGCTATTTCAGACATGGCTCAATTAAGCTTAAAGTGTACATATACTGTTGGTACCATATATGGTTAAAATAATTCAATTCCATCAACAGCTGCATTGTTAAATGCCAACAGATTACATACAAACTACAGCCTTGCTGGTTTTGCCAAGAGTAGCTTGACTAAACAAGAATCCACCAATATTAGCAAAGCATGTTTGATTCCATAGATACCAGAAAAAAGTTTGGTAATTAAGTCTGCTTAGTAGCCAGACTTGTAAAAAGTGCTGACAGTGTTAGTTTTCATTTTGTGTGATAGATAAAGCCAACCTAGTTGTTGTCCCTGTACGTTTGTTTTTGCGCCTAATGTATGACAAAGATTAATTGAGATCCACACTTCATTGTTATTCAGGAATGTAGGAATGATTGCTACATCTTAGTCTGTAGCTAGAGAAGAATCACCATTTATGGTACCCATCAGAGGAGTGTGTCCCACTACATGCTTATCTAAGAGTTCTACACATTCTTAAATAATCTTAACTACACAATCATATCAATATGATTTCATGTAACCATTTGTCTCGGTTTACGTTTTAAGATTTTTACATTTTACTATATGTTTTACCTTTTAAGATACATTTTACATTGTAAGATACATTTGAGATTTTATCTACTGAATCAGAGTTCATCATCAATCCTTAATCTGGGAGAAAAAGTTTGAGGGAGTTAATGGAAATCAGTCATTCTAAGAGGTAAGTTATCCAGTTTTAAGAATGACAAACACGTAATTGTTCAAAACTACCTTTTAAAAAGCATCTAAACTGGACTACCATTCTTTTAAAAATATGTCCCTATTTCCATTCTGTAATAAACTAAACCAATTTGTTCTCAATCCCATTTTCAGGGCCATGCTTATTCTAGGATCCTTTGGTTACAAGGTAAGCAGAGTGCAGGATTTGTGTCCTGGTTCTCTCTCTTAGTAAACTTGCTTGGACCTTCGGCAGCCTTTCTGGTCAGAAAGACAACTGCTGACCAGATACCTACATTTTCTTTATTCACCTTTCTCGTCTACTATACACAACCTGATTAGTTTTTTTCTATAAATATTTGAATATTTGTATTTGAAATCTTTTTAACATTGCATAGATTAAAACTTTTTATTACTTGTTTTAGAAAAAAGATGAAAATGATTTTTATTGTCATAATTTATATGCACTGTATTTGTGTTTTGGTTGCAAATTTCAATAAATCTGCTAAAAAACAAACAAAAAAAATCATGAACACCAATAAGTGGTTAATCTAATTTCAAGCCGTTAGCAGCAGTAGATTTCCTCTATGGAGGTTCTGGCTGAACTCTTCCTAAACTCAAGGAAAACAGGGCTTGTCACCCTTTGCCAGTGCCTTTCCCAGCCTAAAACGGACATGGCAGGCTTTCTGCAGATCAAAACTGGGAAATAAATTGTAAAAACAAAGCACTTCATAAGTGCCCACAAAAATAATGGAATGTTCTCTCTTTTTTCACTGGAAACCACTGAAGGGAACCAGTCTTTGGTGAAAAGGATCTCTCTGACCTGTACCTCCCCTTAAATTTCCCACACCCTCTTCCTCTCTTCCTAGGCAATACCATTTAAAAAGAGCCAGAGGGCTTTTTCAGTTCTGAAATATAGATGCAGAAGTTAAGAGTGAGAGGGTTCTAGAACCCGCCTGCCTGGGTTGAAATGCCACCTGTGCAATCCTGAGCACGTTCTTTAAACTCATCTTGAAAATGGGGTAAAAAAAAAAAAAAGTAGCATTTGTCTCATAGGGATTATTTGAGCATTAAATGGGTTAATGCATACATAATGTTGAGAACAGCACCTGGCACACAGTGTGCAATGCATTTTAGATACAGTGGTTACTCTATAAATTTGCTGCTCTGCCACCCCTCCTTGTCATTTCCTATGGAGTTGATTTTCTGAGGTTTTAAGCAGGAGAATAATATAAAAGTGATGCATAGAAAAATCAATCTGGTTACAGAACACAAGGTAGGTTGAGGAGAAGAAGAAAAGATCTTTTGTTGCAAAACAAGAAGAGGTTTCCCAATTCCAAAAAACTCAAAATATGTCTTGATCAGATAGCTTTGTTGGTGCTTTCTTTTCTATTCTACTTTGAATTATTTGTGAAGCCCATTAAAGTTTCAACGGAATACATGGTTTTCCATCTCCAGTCAACTTTGTTCTAATTAGGGATGTGACAGTCCATTCTAAGCATTTTCATACAGATATTTTAAAATGAGATCTTTTTCAGAATCTTCTTTTACAAGCAGAAAAGCTTTTGCAAAAATCTTTAAGTAAGAAAAGGAATCCAGACCCAAAGTTTCTGACCAGGCATCCTACAGGGATGCCCTCTGGACTAAAGTTCCATTTACTTTTTACCTAATTTCCAAAAGTACCAGGAATCTTTTTGTTCAGTGTCACTGGTTCTCAGGAGAACGAGGCAAAGCATCTTCCCTGGTGAACCAGCCCTACTTCCTTCTATTCGTATTTCCCGATGCATTTGCCTTCTCAGAATTATGCTGTGGGATCACCACAGTATCAAATCTCAGTGTTCACCTGAAATATCATGATGGGAAAGAAGTTGTTGACTATGTTACCAAATTTCAGATAAGTGAGCACTTTTATTTCTACTTAAAGAATAATTCAACACATTCTTGAAATGAATTAGGATCTAATACTTGAGTAACCTATGTTTATGGAGCAGAACACAGGGAGTAGACAATGAGGTGAGATGAGCAGGAATAAATCCTATTTATCTGATTCTTATCCTCACTATTGAAAGTCCTGCTGCTCCCTGCAAAATAGTCTCCAATTATGTCTAGGGTGCCCTATGGGGTGCACCTATGCATCATTTGCCTCGTGGCATCTGCCACTTTCTTCTGTTTTTTTCTTCAGCATCATTTGGTGCTGATGATCTTCACTGCTGCCCCATGTGAGATGTAGGTGCCCCTCCTACCTGGGAGCCTCCAATGGAGCAAAGGAGTGAAACAGTCTTGGAAACTTCAATAAGTCAAAGTTACACTGTGTAGGGTATAGACGGAAGGAGAAAGTAGATCCTTTCCACCATGTGTTGCACTTTGTGACACAGATCCCAAAACGGGTGTTTCTCTGCAGTTTCTTAGTGAAAGTTGCTCTTTTGAATGTTTTAAAATTTGAAATTCTCATCCCAGCCCAGGGGCTAGACTTGAGGACAAATTTTGAGTACCATATACTCAAACACTAAAACACTATTTTTGAACCAAACCCAAGTGCTGAATTCTCTCTTCTAAAATGAGGTTCTCCCAGAAGTTCTCTTCGTCCTTAGTCCTGCACATAAACAGATTCAGGGCAGAAATCTCAGGTGTTAGCACTGTTTGGGTTCAACCTGGGACTACAAATATAATTATATACATAATACATAATATACATATTGCCTATTCTACCTTTATAGAAGTGCTGTATCACAAGCTTTGATAGTTCTTGTTCTTTTTTAGTTTTAAAGCGGTTATGTAAAATTACCAGCTTTACTGTAGCTTTGGTGAAAGTATATTAGATTTAGTTGATTTTTTGCAACTCCTTTCTATCCTGGGAAAGCTGTCTTCTCTGTACCTTAGGTCACTCGATTTTTTTTAAATTCAGAAAATTGCAGTGGAACAAAACTTTCATGTAGAGCTTCCAAGTAAACTTGGGAATCAATTTATAATGATTCTTGTGTTTTATTTTATGTAATAAAATTAAGCAACAGTTGAACTTTTTGAAGGGTGGGCGCTCTTTGAGGGCAGTTTCAGTGTTCTATTCATCTTCTTAATTCTGTGCGTAGCACGATGCCTGATGCAGAGAATGAATTTGGTCAATGCTGGCTTCATTAATTACTCTATTGGGGACATTCATATTGAAAAACTAGAAAAGTTGGGTCAATAGGGTATGATTGATTTAAGTTAATCCAATCTTATAAAACAATTGTGAATCTCCCTGGCTGTTAAAAGGTTCTATATCCTTTAAGGTTTATTTCCGATATCCCTTCCTCTAAGAGACATTTTCCTTATTCCTCCCAGCTTAAAACCATTTATTTCTTTTTTGAAAATATAACTTTCGAAAATAAAATGATTAAGTCTTTGGTCCTGTTGGAAAGGACCAATGACCATATAATCTAACAAGAAGTGAAGGTTAACGTGCATTTTACACAAGGTTCATGTGCATTTTACACATGAGTAAGTGTAAAATGCACAGGAACCTTCATTTCTTGTTAGATTATATAGTCTTAGATGTACATAATGACCAGGTTTACAAATCCATTCTATGTTGTGACTCTTTCTTGACCTGGTTTGGAAACTTTGTGTAAAGTGGCCCTTTCTCTCTTATTAATTCCAAAGATGACAGACACAGAAATTTATTGTCTAGTTAGAAGAAGCTGCATTCTCTGATTAGCCTTGCCCTTTTTGAAGCTTTGATTTATTGGGGCAGAGCAAGCATGGGCTTTTGTATGTGCTGAAAGGAAACTAGGGTGAGGAATAATTTATAGTTCTCTCCTTGTGGCTGAAAAAAAAATAAAGGTTATTTTCATTATACTGCTATAGGAACTGTTCTAAAACAGAAGAAAGATACTGTAATAAGTAGAAACCCAAAGAATGACATTGAGCTACTGTTTCAGATAACTTAAAAACATTGTTAAATTCATAGTTTGAAGCAGATTAGCCATTCTGCTTCAAAATCTCTTATCTTAGTTTTACAGAGAACAATGTCTTTTCCAGTCTGGCAAGAGTAGCATTTCTGCAGTTCTCAGGCAAGTTATGCTTGCCAAAACAAAGCATAGGTGGAAGGTAGCTGGGAAAAACTGACTGGTAGCCCTTTTAACGTGGGAAAGTGTTGCCAAAGAGGAATCCAAAATAGAGGTGCCAAGTATTCAATTGTACACACACACACACACACACACACACAGAGAGAGAGAGAGAGAGAGAGAGAGAGAGAGAGAGAGAGAGAACAGTAGCAAACATTAGATATTACCACGTTTGTGGTTTCCAAACTTTTATTTTCTCCTTTTTATATTCCAATAAAGCCTTTATTTTGGTGAGGTGCTTTGCTATATGATCCCTCTGTTAAAGGTTTTAGGAAAGCCTACAGGATGAGAGTATTTTCTTTAATAGGATAAAGTCTGAATTTCACCTTCTAAACCAGTCAAGTCTTTTTTAATCATCACAGTGAGTGTACAGGATTTTCCAATCTTGTGGATAATTACATATTCGAACCCTGGCTCCTAGAGTCAAGTATGTAGGATTCCAGAATCTTGTGTAGAGAGTAAGATGATCAGGAGGAATCAGTTCCTTTGGGGGATGAACTGGGGTGAGAATAGGAAAGCATTGCAGGTGGAGAGCAGCAGCAGGGACAAATGATGGGAGGAAGGAAAGTTCTGGATGTGTTCGTGGAATGGTAAATAATTTGGCTTAATAACAGGTGATATTTTTAGGCATTTCCAATATGCCAGGTATTAACTGGCATTAATTTATTTATTTTGGGGAACATTATACAGAAGATACTTTTGTTATCACCAGTTTATACGTGAGGAAACTGATGAGGCGCAGAGAAATCCGATAACTCGCCTGAGGTCATACAGCTAGAGAGAGGCAAGACTAGTATGTGATTCTAGGATGACTGGGTTCCGCATGAGCTGTTAACCACAGTGCTATCTATAGCCTTTCAGCTGTGATGGAGAAGAAGGCCTTTTATTCAGAGAAGGAAAAGGCAATAGAGAAGTGACAGATACTCTGGAAACTGTAGAGCACTCAGCCTCTTTTTCTAATACTGTGCTGGACATCTCCATATGAACATAGTATCTGCCTTCAAATCCAACTGGTCTAAAAGCGAAGCTCATTATCATTTCCTCCCCTTGAAGGTGGTATACAGGTTATGGCATCATCACTAAATACTCCGACACTCAGGCCAGAACCCTTGGAGTCAAGGTACAGCCCCTCCTCATAATCCTCCTCTTCGGTGAATCTCTCTCTGCCCTCGTATTATAGTATGGTTGCTTTTCTCTGCTTCCCATCCTCATATTCCTACCTGGGGGCATTGGCACAACTACCAACTTAATGAAGTCCCTTTCTCCCTACCTTCTCCTGGCCCCAATGCATCCTGAAGTTGCTGGCTAGAGAATTTTCCAAAACCAGGGCTCTGATCCTGTCATTGTCCTCCAAACTTCATGACTCCCTCTTACCTGCAAGATTCTCTCCAGACCTCTCAGCCTGGCTTTCAAGGTCCCCATAACTGAATCCTGCAATTGACTGAATGTTTCTGTCCCCCTAAAATTCATGTATTGAAATCTGAACCCTCAATGAGATGGTATTAGGAGATGGGACCTTTGGAAGGCAACTGAGTCATGAGGGAAGAGCCCTTATGAATGGGATAAGTGCCCTTATAGAAGAAACTCCAGTGAACTCTCGTCTTCTTTTCCTCATGCAAGGCCATAACAAGAAGTCAGCAGTCTGCACACCAGGAAAGAGTCTGCACCAGAGCCCAACAGTGATGGTGCCCCGCTCTTGGACTTCCAGGCTCCAGAACTGTGAGAAATAAATTTCTATTGTTTATAAGCCACCGAGTTCATGGTGCTTTATTATAGCAGCCTGAGCTAACTATGATAGATCCTAACCTATCTTTCTAGCTTTCTTGCCCACATTTCCTCATTGATGTTAACTTTCTGAGCATGCTAACCAGACTTCCCTGAGGCTTCTCTCATGCTTTCTATTCTCCTCTTCACCCCCTGTCAATGAAGTGCCCCTGCTTGAAACACCTCTGCCCAAACCAGCCCACTTCGTTTTTTTTTCCCCCAATCCCACTTCTTAAAAACCCTTCCTCATTCTTTCAGGTCAAATGAGTTACTCCCCCATGTCCCTCATAGCATTTGCTTATACCTCACATTCCCTGCATTATGTCATAGCCTTTGGGGTTGAAGACTTTCTCCCCAATTACACTACCAGACCTTTATGATGAAAGACACATCTTATTCACTAGTGTGAATTCACTACTTAGTAGTAAGTCCACTGAAATGAATTTTGCTGAAATGAAGACATAATCACTTGGTCCCAAGTAGAGGCTACCTTTGAAAATCACCTTGATGGCCCCTTTCTTCTCTGAACCAGAAGATCATCCTTGATAAAAGGCCATATATTGAAGGAGCAGGTAGTTATAAGCCACATGGGACAGGGTGGCTTAGAAACATATCAAGAGCTTTTTACTGCATAAAGCCCAAACTAGGCCAATTAACTGAAGTGAAAGCAGGAAGAAAGTTTACAGAGTTATGGACCTTGGTATATTCTTAACAATGTGGATATTTTTTCATTAAAAAGGGGATCCTAAATCATTTTCTGCATGTGTGTGTAATCTACATAGGGCAAATCTGACAGGACACTAGGATACCACACAGAATAAAATTTATGTGGTTTATTTATTAAATTATATTAGATATTTTAATTGTATATTGACAAATTATATTGTATATATTTATAGGGTACAAAGTGACATTATAATTTTTAATATAATGTGGCATAATTAAATCACGTGAAATAATATATCCATCATCTCAAATAGCTCACATTTTTGGTGATAAGGAGATTTGAAATTTACTGTTTTAGTGATACTGAAATATACAGTACTCAGCCAAGTGCAGTGGCTCATGCCTGTAATCCTAGCACATTGGGAGGCCAAGGCGGGCACATTACCTGAGGTCGGGAGTTCGAAACCAGCCTGGTCAACATGGCGAAACCTCGTCTCTACTAAAAATGTAAAAGTTAGCTGGGTGTGGTGGCTCATGCCTGTAATCCCTGCACTTTGGCAGGCCAAGATGGTCAGATCACTTGAGGTCACGAGTTTGAGACCAGCCTGGCCAACATGGTGAAACCCTGTCTCTACTAAAAGTACAAAAATTATTAGCTGTGCATGGTGATGCATGCATGTAATTCCCGCTACTTGGGAGGCTGAGGAAGGAAAATCACTTGAACCCAGGAGGCAGAGATTGCAGTGAGCCAAGATTGTGCCACTGAACTCTAGTCTGGGCATCAGAGTAAAACTCCATCAAAAAAAAAAAAAAAAAACCCAGAAAAGAGAAAAGAAATACACAGTACTCAATTATTAGCCATATTCAGCATATTGTACAATTGATCTCACAAAAAAATCAAACTAATGATAGTCAAAGGGGACAAAGCCTCAGTTATATGGGAGGAATAGGTTTAATTTTTTTAAAAATTAATTCCACCGATACTATAACCTAAAGGCACACATAATGCACTACCTACAACACAGAGGAGAAACAAAAGTAATTTGTAATAATTACTCTGCCCTTTAATATGGGGATGCTCAGTTTAGGACCATACTGGAAGACCTGTGGAGCAGTCTATGCCTGCACCACACATGTGCAGCTACACGTGCAGACTCACGCAGGTGGGCAGCCTCCATGACTCACTCTAGCAGCATCTCAGGGAAAGTGCCAAACCAAACAAAGTGCAATCTCCCCTCAATACCTGGTAGTTGTAAATCTGGAAAATTCCATGTGTATTACAATCATGCAAAAACATACTTTGTTTTTCTGCAAAAAAATGGAGTTGGATTCTGGGCTCATATAATTATATAAAGCTATCATACCTATGGGAATGTCTGATACAACATCCAATATTTGTGTGGGATGTGGAACAATTCTTTGATGGGCA